CCCGCCGCCGTTCCCTCTCTGCGAGCACCAGCGGGGCGGTCCCGGCCACCCTGTCCGTGGTCACGCCCGTCTCGTCCTTCCTGACGCCCACCACAACCGCGCCCGCCAACCTCCGTCCGCGTACCGCTTTGCCCACCCCCAAGCTCATCTCGCCCCGCCCTCTACCCCGTCCCTCGCCTCGCCCCTCTCTCCCCCCTGCGCCTCGCCCTCCGGCTCTCCCGCCGCCCCGCCCGCCGCCCTGCCCGCCGCCTTGCCCACGACCTGCTCCGCTTGGTCGATTGGCCTCCCCCGCTGCCCTTGCCTCTTCGCATTCCGCCTTTGCACTCTCAGCTGCCTCCTTCTCTTCTTGTGTCCTTCCTAGCAATAGCAGTCGAACAGTCAGTAAAACACACATACTTTGCAGCAGCGCTCGTACATTAAAAAAAAAAACGCGCGTACACACACCTGCGCGCTGCTCGCAAGGGACGGTTGCAAGCGGTGGTGACGGGACATTTTTTTGTGTGTGCAACAGCTGTTGGATTGGGTGCGAATCAAAAACCCCACCACCAATGACAGCTTACATGGAGCTCCATAACAAGGTGGGCTTACAAAAACAAAGCGTCCTACTGAACTATCGGCTTGCTTACACTTCGCGCAGCGTTCTGCAACACACATGCATGTGCGGACCAACAGCACACAAGCCCGCTGCTGCGTGTTGCACCAAAACAAAAAATATGTCCTATCATGAACGAGCCCTACCATTTCTTCGGTCAAGTATAACTGAGATGACCACAGGGAGTGCTGCATGTTCCACCCTCAACCGGATCCAGTATCACACGGCGTTGTGCGTGCATGACAGGGGCAGCCGCTGTTGGATGTACTCACAGCATTGACATATTAGTGCAACCGTGGAACGTTCTGAGAAGATGGAGCGGGGAACTTTGGGGGTTCCGCAGTTGCGATAAATTGGGGGAATGGTGGTACCATCTTTGCCACATATTGTTATTTTCTCGGTATACGTGTCTGCAACGGTATTTGTTAGACATACTCGCAGCAGTATCTGGTCGTGAGGATCCCAGGGGGATACGTGTTGGGAATTTCGTGTGTTGAAGGGTACCACCGGCGGAGTCACGGGGACCCTTTGGGCGTGGTCGGTGCGATGATGAGGCTTGCGTGCGTGCTGCGCACTTCTTCCCTCTCTCTCTCCACCACCACCACCGTCTCTCTCCAATCAAGTTTCCTTCTCCCACTCTCTCTCAACCTCTCTCTCAACCTCTCCCTCTCGGCCTAACACGGCCGACTACCCAGTGCCCCAAAGTAACGTCCAGAACGTGCTTGCTGCACCCCGCGTAGTTTACCTTTCACANAGGGGTGTGAATATAGGAGACCTTCGGAGACTTTTTGGGAATGAAGTGGTAGACTCTTGGTTGGAGTAGAGTCTGCTGCGTCTGCTTCGTCTTTGCCGAGTGTGGAATCTAGTGAGGGGCCGCCTGGTAGCGAGAGATGGGTAGCTGACTCAGGAACCAGCAACAGTTTCACCAACAGCAGCCTACATATGACCTGCAAGAGATCCCGCCAGTAGAAAGCATGTCGTTGAAGGTGATGGTCGACTGCTAGAAGTGCAAGCCATCGGTAGCATTAATCTT